ATGAATTATGGATTTCAAAAATAGAGACTTCAAGCTGTAAAATGCTTTTTGGATCATTCTGTTACGATCATTTTTGACGAAGTTACACTCTTTTGAAATTTGCCTACTTTTAGATCAGAATAGGTGATCCTTCAATTTTGGGAAGGAGTGTATACTGTATATATATAAAATTTTTTACTCATAAAAATTTTCATTTTTATGCGCTCAAATAATTCAATGTTTTAAAGCCAACATTAAACTATTTTCTTTCCAAAGTACATTCTCCCAAGTATTATATATTAAAAGACTTTTTTTATTCATTAATATAAGTTACGAATTTTTAAACAATAGTGTTTTTTTTAATATTTGAATCTATTACATTTAAATTTATAAAAAATAAGGAAAATATAATCTGACTTCTATTATGATTTTAAAAAAATTGTTGTTAAAGGTTTCACAAGTATACATAAATTATTTCAGATTTTGATATAGTGTAGAACAATAGAAAGTTGTAAACTTTAAAGATCCATTTTGGAAATCTAGGTTGAAAATTTCACATTGTCGACGGAGAATTAAAAATTAAAATTACTCACGTTCAATTGATATGTGAACATTTATCTATCATATAATTACAGATCTCTAATATTTGTCATATAAATTAAAGTTTAAATAAATTTCAAATTTAGATTAATGTTAAACTATTAAATATAAATATGAAATTACCCTTTCGTCCAAATTTCACACTTCAAGGCGTGTCGTTTAAAAGCTCTCTGGCATTGTCTAGAAGTACGATTTATTATGCCATTTAGCAAGAATACACCTTGATATTCAGGATTGGCAGAATCTTTGATGGTCAATGTCCTCTCTATGGGATGATTATCCAATGGAAATGGAAATTCACACATCACATAAGTGTCTGCTTCTCGAGAATAATTGATTCCTCTAATTATAGAAATTTCAATATCACTATCGTTTAAATCCGTGCAACTCCTGAAAAAATATAGATTTTTCTCAAATTTAATCATTATAATAAAAAAATTATAGTTTAGTTCTTTATTTTAAAAGGTATTTATGTTTTAAATTCAATATTGTTTCAAAATATGTTTTGTTTTAACTAGCAAATATACGAAAGTAATATAAAACATAAGAAAAAATGTTTAGCTAAATCTGACAAAATCACAAGTAAAACCCAGAATATGTTATAAAATATTAATGGATAATTCAAAAAAAAAAAAAAGAAATGATAGAACATTTCAAAAGAATTTCTAAGAAAACTATGAAAATTATTTCTATACTTGAAAGAAATGAATAGAAAAATACATGAGAATGGAGATTATTATTTTAAGATAAATGTTTTTAAATTTTCTGTAAATTTTCAATAATACATATAAAACTTTTCTAATATAATGTCTTCTCTTTACTTAAATTTTATATATCTATACTTAAATTACGTGGTAAAAAATTTACATAAATGTACTAACTGTACTATTTGATAGGTTTTTGTTTCATAATGATGTTGCGGTGGTGGCAGTGAATCACGTTTTCGGACTCTCAGCATATCTAAATCTCGCGTGTAGCTCAGTGCGAGTCGCTCCCATCTATTATATCCGGGAACATCTCCCAGTGCTTTTGAGTGATCTCGTGTAGACAAACACCACTGTAAAGTTAATTCTTAATAAAGATTGATAAATAGCATAATTATTAATTTATGTTAGTCTCTAAAGTTTAGAATATAGTATTTGATAAATTATACAAATGTTAATCTTTCCATAACACAAAAAAATATCAATAAATTTTAGAAGTTTAAAATATTTGATAAATTATGGAAATATTAATCATTTCATGAAAAATTAAATTTTTAATCAAAATTATCAATACATTTTTTTAATTATAAATTATTCCATTATTACCTTAATTTGTTTAATTAATTGAGCTTCAAGATTTTCATAAATTTTATCATCTGTTCCATTCAAACCTTCCAAGAAATCTTCGGAGGATACTAAAATGAAATTTTCATCCTTTTGTGATGAACTGAGTTCTACTTTTTCAAGAGGAGATAATGGGATTGAAGTCATGTCGACCGGCAAGCCAGCTTTGCTAGCTTCGATTAAAGGCTGTATCCCTTTCGCTTGTCTTAGATAGTCACGTGCCAAATCCATATCTCCATCTTTCTTTGCATTTAGAGCTGCTTGCTTTAATTCACGCTGCCGTAGCTGCAATTGTAGCATTTGCTTTTCTGCACGCGATGTAATTCTCTGATTTGGTTTCTGTCCTAATAAAAAAATATAAGATAAAGGAGATAAATATGTAAGAATCTTATTTAAGCGGATTCTCCTAATAGGAATCCTATTTTATAAGGATCAATACCTTAAAAAAAGAACTTAAAGACAAATGATGTATAAACACATGTATTATAAGTATTATATATAATACTATATGTATGTTTAATTACATAATCAATTCTTCTATTCAACATATAGAAATATAAAAATGTACTTTTGAGATATTTATATATTTATAAAGAAAAATCTTAATGCATTTTTTCTTACTGTTCTATAAAATCGTTAAAATTAAATCATCAAAATATACTTTAAATATTTCTCATATTTTTATTGAATTATAATAAAATATAAAATATTTTATGGATCACTTTAACCATTCAATAATCTCATCTTAATACTTTTACAAAATTATTTATATATATAATATAGAATTATTACATTAAGAGAAAAAAAATATTTATATAAAAAAGGTAGCTCTAAAAATCTTTTCAACTGTCTTTACCTAGAAAAGAACATTCTAATCCCCTTTTATCTCCTTTAAAACAAAGCAAATTAATTTCAAGAAGAATAACTAGCAATAGAATAGAAAGAAAACAGAAAGAATTAATTGCACAGAAATTTTTAAATGGTTGTACAATACTATATTACCTATATAATATTATTATGCTATATTACCTAATACATACATAATGTTTCATGAAATGAAACATTATATAGAATAAATTCAAGAAAAAATGTTGAACATAAAAACAATATAAAAAATTCTTACAAATGTTTATTATATCTAACTAAATTTCCAAGTTATAGGCACTTTTATGTCTCAATAATTCTGGTCATAAAATAAGTTGAAATAATTAATTCCACTAGTCTTAAATTATATCCATATTTCATAAAATAATTTATATTTATGTCTATTTATAATTATGTATAAAATATAATATACATTTTTAAACATAAGTACATATACAGGGTGTCCCAAAAAGGTCAGGACACCTAAATATCTCGGGAAATATAAGTTTTACAGAAAAGTGTTTAAGTTGTATGGTTTAAAAATATCTATTTACTGATCCTATCAGTTTGACCTTGGGTTGCGTAGCCAAGGTCAAGTCAAAGTTACATTGATTTTCTTAAATGGAACACCCATGAAAAAATATTTCATTATAGCGTTTTGGAAAGCTCTCGACATCAGTTATTAGATTATGTTATAGATCTTGAATCAAAAATAGAGTGTTTCATTTAAGAAAATCAATGTAACCTTGACCTGACCTTGGCAGTAGCAATACTGTAACTTTGAAGCATTATAACTTGAAAAGTACTTCATGAAAAAATATTTCATTATAGCGTTTTAGAAAGCTCTCGACATCAGCTATTAGATT